TGTCAAATTACGCTCATGAGTAGCCGCCCTTAACGAAAATTTGTCGTCCGAGTGACACCCCAGTATAGAAATGCGGTACGTTCGAAAAGGCTTCTGTCGGTATTGGTAGAGATTTGTATCGTAACGATTAAAATGTTTATTAACAAAGTTAGGTTGTTTTCACGATCTCCAAGTTTTCCAGACATTGTTCTGAAATCCGGCAGGACTTCCCCGGACACCCTAAAAACCCCAGGTAACATTTTTACATGTACAAATGTCACTTTAAACGTTGATTATCGTTAAACCACCTCTAAAATGGTCGGTGCAAACGGCCATTAGACGTTTTTGCCTTGTTTTGTTTTTTGCTTTGTAAAATTGAATTGCAGATAGGCTCATATGAATAAAACAGAAGCAAATGCTTTTACTTAAGTTTTTCGAGATAAACATATTCAGCTTCAATGCAGCAAGAAGAGATGGAGGTAGAGTAAAACGTTTGCTACACATATATTCATACGATTGAATGTCTAATTTTAATATTACCTAGGTCTGTTTCTGCAGAAATCACAAACCAGTCAGAGCATGAACGTAACATGAAAGAAGTATGAAGTGCGAATGTTTGACAATTGGGCAAATACAGGCTTGATGGAAGCAAATAAAAGTGATGTAATAATTCAAGATTCATTACCCGCAATTCATTCTCATGAAAAAAGGAGATGCCGCGGCTGTTTTACGGGAGGAGTTTAAAAATTTTGAAAGAAAATGGCGTGACTCGAAAAGGACAGAGTTGTATGACCTCTTTGGATCCAATGATGGAGATGAAGATAATGTAGATGACATAGGGTTCAGGGTTGCCAGACTTCCCACCTTAGGAGGGACAGTCCCGCATTTTGTTAATCGGTCCCGCCTTTTTTTAATTAATTTCAGGTCCCGCTTTTCACGTGAATTGTCCCGGTTTTCCCGCTTTTTCCACCCAATCTTCACATTTAGTGCAAAAAAAACGCTTGTTACATAAATAGCAATTTCTGCATTTAAAATCGACGCAAAAATCACCTAACGAGTCTGAATCGCAAACATTTCGTCGAGGTCTGCGGATGACGTCACCAATATTAGCTCCTGACGTAGTGACGTCACTCGCAGACCTTGTGGACTCGAGAACCGGCGAATGAATGCCTTCTGAGGATGAGCAATCCTGTTAGTTTACGATTCTTGGGTTTTATTAATAAATATTGTATGTTGTGTAGGTATAAAAATGTCAAAAATTCCAACAAAATCCAAATCTCATTGCACAAACAAACTAGCATTTGCAAAAAAACTTTTTTTCTGGCCCCTGAAAAATAGATAACTTTCGTCAAAAATAATTTTTTCTATGACCGTTAGAAAATAAACAACTTCGTCATATGTATTTCACCTTAGCCGAAAACTTCACTTTCGTCATTATAGTCATAAAATATCTAGTGACGAAAGTGAATGATTAGGATTTTACATGTTAAAAACATTCTTTCAAATCCAATTATAATTTGATTTTGTGAAGCACACCGAAAGAACATAGTTTATCACAAAATTATTTAAATTGTGCTTTATATAATGTAATAAAAGCAGAACATACAGAGTGGCAAAAAAGTAGTGCAGTGCATACAACCTTTAGCTTTTTAGGACCTTTTTTCATACAAAAAGTTACAGGTATTATGCGCTACTTTTTTGCCACTCTATATAGCGTATAAATAATGATGTTTACTGTTGTTTTGTCGTGAAGCGTTTATTCTGTTATCTAATAAAGGAGAAATTTTTTTTTGTCCACTTTTGGTTGAATTCTTAGCAAAATTTGGGCGTGGTTCCAAAAAATTTGTTGCGCTTTTGCTCAAGGGGATCCATACTCCATATGGGGGGGACACATTGGGCACTACAGCCCCTCCCCCCCTTATGCTTTTGGGTGTGACACCCGAAAAAAATGTTCTCCCTCTGGATAAAAACAGTCCCGCTTTTTCATTTCATAGATCTGGCAACCCTGATAGGGTTGCATACAGGGAATGAATTAAAACTTTCTGAAAAAGTGTTAATTACATTCACTTTGCAAACAATGTTTGGTTTGCTGTTTTAATGTTTCATATAACTACAGATTATACATCCGTGCAGCGTTGCCAGATATACCATTTAAATGGTATTTATACCATTGTTTCTTCTGTGATACCTGCGAAAATTTTGAGGATACCATTTTCCATTTTTCTACCATTTTTTTATGAAAGTTACCATTTTTTGCAAATACCATTTTCAATTATAACTCTTTCTTCCTGTGATGTCTAGTTATTTTACCGAATTGCTTTTATGTTTCCTTTTTACTGTGATTTTTTTTGTTATATCATTTGGGGTCGGTTTCTCAATAGCGAATCCAGTGGCGGCTCGTGACAATCCAAACTGGTGAGGCCCATGGCCCATCAAGTTAACCCAAACAAACCCAAACAAAATTTTCAAGTGTTACGCCCAAATTTTGACCCAAAATTTCATCGAAAGAACATCTCGGATATTTTTTTTTGTATATTTCTAATGAAAATTTTCATTGCTTACAGTTGCAAAACAACAGCAGTAGGTACATAATTCTTATTTTAATACAAATATTGAGTTTCAAATTAACAAAATAAATTCCAAAAAACAGTTTTTTAACCCGCAACAGACCAAAATAAAAAGTATGAGCCAATTAACCAATTAAATACTTGTCGCAGCAGCAAGAGATGCAAGGTTTCTTATTAACAAGCCCAAAATTGTGCGCCTCAATGCCTATAAAAATTCGCTATCGTCTCACCTACAGTTGAAGCGTTGTGGTGGGGAGTGCCGTGGCATCGCTTCGGCGTTCTGTGACGCACATGAGGCCAAAATTTTTGGGATTGCTATTTTATTTTAATGCTGTCTGGCAACGATTTGAGCGCCTATATAGATAAATAGGTAGAAGCGCGCGCTAAATTCAAGAAATAGTATTATATTTTAATGAAAATTCGATGTTTTGATTCTTTCAATGATTGAAAATAGTTGAAAAACGTTAAATATTTAATGAATATTATTTCAAAATTTTACATCATTATTGTAATTTTTACATGTGAGGCCCGGCCTCAGTTGCTTTATACGACGAGCCGCCACTGAGCGAATCACGTCCGGGTAAACGTGTCCAGTTGCAATGTTTACCCTGGAGTTATATGCTTATCCCGGGGGTGACCTACTATTGAGAAACCGGTCCTTAGGTACCAGTATGTCCTTATTTTAGCCTGTTCACAGATAGGGTTCGCAACATGCTTTTCAACACTTGAAGACATAAAAAATCAGTTAAGGAATCAATCGACTTACAATGAAAAATTTGGATGCGTTGATGATAGTGAACTTACATAACGAAATCTTAGGATTGTTGACTTTTGAGAAGATTCTTATGGAAATGTTCACCTTGAGCCCCCCATTAAAGAAAAAATAATAATTTTGATTCTTTGAAATCATCTTTGAAATAAAAAACAAGATAAGAATTATTTTTAACATAGCAAAATTTCATTGAGTTTGACAGAAAACCAAAAACCCATAACAGGTGTTCATTCAGCATTTTATTGTTTTTTCACTGTCGTTATTATATTATTAGATCACATCTAAGTGTGGGGATGTGCCCCATAAATCCATCAATGTAGGCCGCTAGACTAAAATTTCACGGCCCACTTCCAAAAGTTCGTCCAACCCTGGAAACAGCCCACGTCAAGGGGAGAAAAGGACATGCTGCTACGTCACAACTGGTGATTTGGCGTGGTGGGGGCTTCCGATTTGTTCCACACAGGCCCTATGAGTAGTGTGTATTATCCTTGGAAAAAAACAGCTTCATTTTCCAACTAGATGTTACTACTCCTTCACCTTTACTTTACCTGCTCTAGAGTCGAAATTATTCTGTTCTCAGACAAATGTCACTCGTCGCAAACTAGCTTCATGCTTCATGACATGACCCTAAGCTCAATGGGCGGTTACACACGGGACGTTGATGTCTCAATACATATAAATACAGTGGCTAAATAAACCTTTACATACAGTGGCGACAATAGAGGTCCTGCCGCCATCTTGTTCCCAACCTCTTGTTACTTTTAAATATTAATATATAGGATTTAAATGGACATCTATCATAAAAAATTGAAATCGACGTATTTGATGACCAATATTAGGTCCATCAAATACGTTGTTTTCCATGATTTATGATGGATGTTCACCTAATCCCATATATTCATATTTTAAAGTAACAAGAGGTTGGGAACAAGATGGCAGCGTTTTCGATATAAATATATGGGATTTTAGAACCAATCAAAAATAAGACAGCAATTGTCGCCACTGTGGGTAATAGAGTCACTGTACATATAAAGTGTGTTTTTTTTTTAAAGATAAAAGTCAAAATGACATTATGTTGGCAATACAATGTAAAATTGTCAATGCTTTCAAATTTTTTATGTACAAAAGGCTTGTGTTGTCAACATAGTTACTAGATTTTTGACTTGGGGAATTATCTTTAAAAAAAAAACACACTTTACGTGCATACATCAACGTGCAAACAAGAACGTGCATGGCGCTTTTGTACAGACGCTCGCACAAAACTGCAGTCTTGCTATTCTTGCTACAGTCTACAGTGTTCCGAGTGTGCATACAAAATTGCACATTCAAAAACGCGACGGTATGCATACACATTGATGTTTTTGTTTGCGCGTTCATGTATGTGCGTAAAACATGTTTTCAGACGTCCACGTCCGTGTGTAATCGCCTATTGGCGGGTTGTTGTTAATTTATTTCAAACTATTGATAATTTGTCATAAGGATTTGATTTGGCTTAGCTTTGGGGTCAAATTAATTACGTTTTTATCTATGAAATTAATTATTCCATGGCTTTTGATGGATTTCATAAAATATTTATTTATTAAAGGTGTTCTAGTCTAGGAACATTTGCTTCCATCAAGTTTTGAATGTCAACCCGCCAATTTACAGAAACGTCATTCAAAATTTTTAATTTATTCAGTTGGTAATAATGAAAAAGTAATGCGTCTGATTTGTGCTATATTTTTTGCAAGAAAATAAACAATTTCTAAAAGCTTTTTTCGCTTGTGCATCCTTTCAGAACTTACTAAATATGCGTGTTTTCGTTCCATTTACAAATAAACAAAAATTATCAACCGGAACGGTGTGAAAATTTCAATTTTTTATATTAGGACGCCATTTTTGCAATATAACTGTCACAGCCGATAGAGAAAGGTCTGTGTCAATAGGAACTGAAAACATAAATATTGCTGAAAGTGTAAAAAATTACAGTGTTTATTGATAAAACTATACATATTTATACCCCACAAATGATATTACACGTATTTAAACACTATACAAGGGCCACAATGGCACAACAAATCAAATTAAACAATATGGACATGTGAAGACCTACTTATTGAGAGGCAAAATATTGACTTGAGAGGCTTTTCAGCAATGTAAATGGATAAAGACAAGCTGAAAACTATGATGAGCAAGGCTCAAAAGGGGCCCATAAGTGAGCTAAACAGTTGTATCACTTGTAAATTGTGCAAAGGATATTATATTGATGCCACTACAATCATTGAATGTTTACATACATGTAAGTTTTTGGTCAATGGGAAAGAATTTGATTTATTCTCCTACTAGTAATTTTTATGTATAGATAATACTTTTTTACAAGGATACTAATAAAACAAGTGTAGTCTTGAGTAGAGTTTTCCTTATGTTTATTGGTGCTTTTTTGATTATCTTCTGATGAAAAATCTCTCAAAAATGAACTTTTTAAAGCCCTTGTTGTCTTTCTTGATCTATATCCATTACCTTCAATTCAGTTATTTTGGTTATTTTCTAATGAATCATGAACTCGAATTAGTTTAGGTGACTCATTGTTTTGTAACTTCAGTTTGTATCTACAGCCCTTTTCTGGCATGTAAAACTTGAGTTTTAACCTATAGAAGACAAAAAACTTACTTACTATTAAAGTTTTCAAACCATTACCCATAATAATCTGATTAGATTCGTCATACCGTCAGCATTGTTTAATAAAAAATTACACATTTTTCCCATTCTTAATAATATTTTGCTTACAATTTCACAAGAATTTTATTTTACTTTAGAGCCAAATTATGGACCGACTGGTAACGCCTATGGCAAATTTATCCTGCTCTGCTAGGAAAACTAAAAATTGAATTTTATTTTTATTTTTACTAACAAGATAGGTACCTAATTTGGCCCCGAGTTTGGCCCTCAAAGTTGTGAGAGTGGTATTCCTAAATTACTCAAATATCAGGATCAAGAACTTTCAAGTCCTGCTGATATTGCAAATGCCTATGCCACTCGCTTCTCATACGTATGTCAGTGATGAAAATATTCAGCCAAGAAACCATTATTTATCTTTTAATGATCTAAATGTTAACTCCTTTAATTTTTAAATTTCTGATATGATGAGTAGATTGGACTCGATAATCCCAACTAAGGGACCAGCTAGGTCCTGATAATATCCCCCCAATATTCTTAAAAAATTGCTCATTTTCTCTCGCAAGACCATTATGGAACTTGCTTAATAATTCACTGTCAATGGGTATTTTTTTTCAAAAATGGAAAGCAACTTATATAATCCCTATAACATAGAGAACTATAGGTCAATTTCAAAAATCTCTCAAATACCTAAGATAATGGATTCAATGATCACCAACTTCCTAGAGGGTTGCTCTTAAAATAAAGTGACCATCCATCCCGATTTAGGCAGGACAGTCCCGATTTCAAGCTACGAGTCCCGATTTAATAGGCGTCCCGCTTTTGTCCCGCTTTCAATAAATTCCAACTATCAACTTTTTATTATTCATTTATTTTAAATCAAATTAAAAAACTATTTCACTCGATAATTATATTGAATTGTTAATTCAAATCTATAAGTTTTCGCAGATCTCAGAGCTCACAAGTCACAATAGTCACAAGCATTAGCATTGAACTCTGCTTGAGCATTTTCAATGTCCTCCCTGGTTGCATCTTTGTGAAGGACTGTGAATTTTTTGAAGTGAAACTTCTTGGGCGGCGACAATGGAGAGTGATTTGAAAAACGCGTCACGGGCAAATTTCGTTACTCGAGAGAGAAGAAAGATATAACGTATGAGACGGAGAAAGACAGCCAATGACAATGACAGCCGATGAACGATTGACACAAACCAAAGATTATAAGCCAAGGGGATTGTCTATCATTGTCAAGCGCCGATACCCTTGTGACGTAAATACAGATGCGGGTCCTCCTTTTGTGTGGTCCTTCGTCTTTACTCCTACTCATATGCAGTCTAGAAGTTGTATGAAGCGGGGGATAGTTTTTGAGAAGTTTCACTTCTACCACATGTACGGCGCTGCACATGACTTTTTTTGGTAGTACCATTACCATATTTGTTTTATTTTGTATCTCATTAGGTACAATCGTCACCAAAAGTTTCTGGGACAAAAATAATGCATAATAATCTCCTGGACTAATTCTACTGTCATTCATTTCAATGTGTCCATTCTAATGTTTTTATTCTGTTTTATTTTATTTGTAAGTCACTTCTATAATTTTAGTTTCGTTAAGTACATATGTACAATTGGGTACAACCCGTTTATGTGATGAATAAATTGTCGGTCTCATGACATAAGGCCCTATCTCGAGACAGGGCCAAACCAAAATTAGTTAAGTTCATAGATATGTTGTATGTATTTAGTGTATACTTGTTTTTAGCCAAGGGTCTTATCTTGAAATCAGGTCATTTTCTTGAAAAAGTGAGAAAGCACATGGCCCTATCTTGAAATATGAATAGTTTTATCACAGCATAAAGGCGAATATTGAGACACAAATGTTAACTACTATTTTGAAATGTGGTATTTAACAAAAAACTTACATGAGTTATTGTTAATAATTCCAAAAAAAGAGACCAAAACTCAGTATAGTTCTTTGTATTATATTGGCGTAAAGACTTTGTAAACTCGAGATAGGGCTTTATGTCCTGAGACCGACGAAATGAAAGAAAAGAAGAATTAGGATTCAAGACAGTTTGAGGCGATTTTGATCTAAATTTGAAGCCAAATTGAACCTCAACACAGTTCTGATTAGATTTAGATCTCGATTAAGATGATTTTATTTGATGTTGTTTACGTTGTTTATGTTTGTATTATAAAAGTTTCAATGGATTTACTAGCCAGATGAGGTAAGTGACTTACAAATGCAAATGCAAATTACAGGCTAAATAAACCTTCACAAGAATTATTATTATTATTATTATTATTATTAAGGTATAAATTTACGATACAAATATACTACTTATTATATTAGGTATCTAAATGGTAAATTGTTTTATATATAACAGCACCTAGATGCAGAGCATCTGTATGTGCTTCTAACTTACTTCATATATATAAGTACATATGTTATTTCCATAGGAATTCAAATTTTTTCGAATGCTGAGAATTTAAGTATGTACGTTATTGTCATCAAATCAAAGCAGTTTTTCAAACAAAATCCGATTTGTCCAAATGAATGCTTTCGATCTTTTTGAAAACAGTTTTGGTTTTACAACATTCTTCACCTCAGTGGGTAATAGGTTGTAAATCTTTGGACCCATGAAACCAATTGAGCGTCTATAAAATTCGCTTTTACATTCCGGAATCCTCAAAAGCTGATTTATGCGAAAGCGGGTGTTTTGATTATGTAACACAATAGGCTGCATCTTGCGGTGTTTATGAGTGTAACAACTAACTGAGTGGAAGAATAGAGTTCTCAAATTCACTATTTCCTCAGTATATAGCATATTTGTGGGATACAGATGATCTTTTTTATAAATTATTTTTAAATTTTATTTTGAACAATTTGTAGCGGCCTCAGCGCATTTTCATACATCGAACCCCAGATCGTGATACCATATGCTAACAAAGATTCCACCAGACTCCGATACAGTGTGACCAACATGTTTGATGACAAAATATTTCTAAGAATATAGAACCTATAAGTCAGAGATCTAATTTTTTTAGTCAGATAGTCAGCATGAGCATTCCACTTCAAGTAATAGTCAATCATAACCCCAAGGTATTTAACTTGAGTAACCTCTTCAATTTTCTCGTTTACGTCTATTTCTATTTGGTTAAAAAGAGGGCGATTCAAATCAACTTTAGTAAGAGCCAAATAATTTGTTTTTTTAACATTAAGGGATAATTTGTGTATATTAAGCCATCTTTTAATTTTTATAAGGCCATTTGTTGCATTTATTCTAGCTTCTTCCCAAGAGGATCCACTGAAAATTATGGCCGTGTCATCCGCATATGACACAATCTCACCCTCAATCCCAATGTCCTTAATTGAGTTAATGTAAAGATTAAACAAAATGGGCCCGAGAACTGTGCCTTGCGGAACACCTATATTTATTGTTTGTGGATCACTGATTGTGTCGCGTATTCTAACCCGCTGCTGTCGTCCAGTCAAGTAGCTCTCAAACACCCTCCACACAGTTCCCCTAACGCCACTATGTTCAAGAACATCAAGAAGTATTTTATGGGAAACTGTGTCGAAAGCCTTCGCGAGGTCCAGGAACACCACCAGGCATTTTTTGTTCTCATTAATTATATTCGTGGCTTCTCTTATCAGACAACACATTGCGTCATTGGTGCTAAGACCCTCTGTAAACCCAAATTGATTTTTTGACATTAGATTATTTAGTTTGATGAAGCTAACTAGTCTGAGTTTTAAAGTCTTTTCAAAGAGTTTCGCAAAATTATTAATTAAACTTATTGGTCTATAATTATTTATGATATTGTGTTTTCCAGATTTGTATATAGGGGTAATAATTGAAGTAAGAATTATTACTGAACATCCTCCTCAGATTGCCTTGTGCCATCAATATAATATGTTGCAGGTGTCAAGAAGTGCAATTTTAAACTTATTTTTACTTAGATATTTTTTCCTTATTTTACATGAAAAAGTCATTAGGATAAAAATGTAACGTTATGTGATTTTCAGTGCCATTTTGTACCAAAAATACGCTTAGGAAAACAGAGAAACATTGCAAAAAATATCTAGAAAATGCAATTTAACACCTATTTCTAGATATTTTTTTTAATATTTCAAAGGAAAAGGCCATTAGGATGCATTTTTAGGATATATTTGTAGCATTATGTGGTTTTTCAAAACAGGACTATTTTGGCTTTTTAAAAAATACGCCTATCAGATCCGGTTTATTCATCTTCAGATAAACTTACTGGTACTTATCTGCAAGATAATTTCACAGTTTTGAAATTACATATTGCCTTTTTATCCCTCAGATTGCATTCCTTACAGTTTATCAGAAGGTGAATAAACCAGCCCTAAATATTTTTGTGACTATAAGCCGAGCTATAAGCTCTAATTTTCATTGTTTTTTTGTTAAACGTGTACTTGTACTTTCGTTTGGCTTTTTCCCAAGAAAATCCTTCCAAACTAGACTTAAAAATGTCTAGTTTGGAAGAAAAAAGCCAAACGAAAGTACTGCCACAACAAATTTGCTCTGCTATGTGAATTTTGAACCAAAGGTTCGTCTACGAATGGATTTGTATGCCTACTTATTAGCTTCAAGTTAACTTGTATCTTTCTTTATTAAATGGGTATTTAAAGTCTACTTTGGATAGATTTTGATTAGGAAGAATTGGAATATTCCAGAAAATGTCTAGAAAATTCAATTTTTAATGTATTTTAGATATTTGTTCCATATTTCAAGTGAAAACTACAAACAATCATCATAATACTCGTCCAGGCTGTAATAAGACCTTGCCATCAATACACTCTTCACCTCGGAACTCTCTTTACTTTAAATTATTTAGAACAGAATAATTAAACAGCCTGTGCTCTTCTTCTACTCTCCAATGTTTGGAATCCATAGCCTGCAAGCACCTATAAGATACCAAAAAAGGACAAACATTATTTTGTTTTACATACAAGAACCTTCAAAAAAAGATTAACATCACTTCTGGTGGGCATATTCTGTTCTCACTCCTTTTCATTCTTCTTTTGAATGAAGTTCAAAATGTGTTCAACCCTCGTTTTAAACATTTAAAACACTGTAAATTTCTCAATTTTTGCTGATGATGACAAGAAAGACTTCTTCCTTTCAAGGAATATCTATGACTGTGAAATTTTAACAAGGGAAACTGGATAACTTCTTTTATTGGTGTGGAGATAATCATCAAGAAAATGCTGTGATAAACAAAATTAAATCAGATCTTCTCAAAATTGGATTGGGAAGTTTCAGAAGTCAAATTAAATCTGCCTGGTGATTGTTTTGTTATTGATTCTTATTGTGTGTAAAAATCAGCACAGGTTATGTCTATTGCTGCGCTCATTTTAAACTTTTTATTATTATTATTTTTTATCTAAATTATCTACTCTATAGATTTTAATGTGTTGTGTTTGATTTTTTAATAAAAAACGTTTTGTTTTATTTGAGGTTCTGTTCAGATATTTGTGATCTACACCTGAATGGCTTGAATGTATTTGTATCAATAAATTGAATTGAATATGTAACTACAATATGATTGATTGGTTGTAAGTACACATACCTAAACATAAGATTCTTATCATTTAGACTAAGAATATTTATTGTACTCTAAATTGGCAAGTGTTTAAATAAAATTCAATTCAATTTATGGAATAGAGTTTGTCACTTGCTGAAAACTTGATATCAGAATGTTAGAAGAAAAAAAAAAAACATAATGTGTAATTGCTAAATTTTTTTCAGTCTGTCGTAGTTGTATTGTCAGATACTTGGAATCAAACAAATACTGTCCAATTTGTGATGTGCAAGTCCACAAAACTAAGCCTCTGCTCAATATCAGAAGAGACAAAACTATACAAGATCTCGTCTACAAATTGGTTCCAAGATTATATCACAGTAAGATACACTGAAAGATTTTCTATTCTACAAAAAATACTGAGTTTATTTCTCTAGATGAATGTAAACGTAGAAAAATATTCTACGAGGCTACTCCTTTGGCAAAACCTTCAACATTTGAGGAAAGTACAACAACACAGTATGAGTACATTTTGGCACCAGAAGAAACTATCAATTTAACATTAAGTTATAATGGGTGTTCCGGTTCCAGTAAACCAAGGTAAGTAACAATTTGTTTTATGAAAAAGTTTATTCAAAACAATTAATATTGGATTAAACTTGAAATGGGTGACGAAACTTTGTCTCGTCCTTTTAAATCCAGCAATTCAATTACAATTAAACAACTGGCAACATTGCCTCCTACTTGAGATATCAATTGGCAGGCTGCATTAAGGGTGCCCCCTGTTGCTAACAAATCGTCTACTATCAAAACTTTTTCATTTGGTTTGATGGCACCTTCTTGTATCTCAACAATGTCCTGTAATAAATAAATAATTGATGATGATTTTCACTTGAAAAGTCTTACGTATTTACCTGTCCGTATTCCAAAGCATATTTGTGACTTTTCACTTTGCCAGGTAGTTTTCCTTTTTTTCTTATTGGCACGAAAGGTATTTGTAATTCCAGCGCAATCAGGGGTGCTAAGAGGAATCCTCTAGATTCCAGGCCTACCACACATTCTACTGCAGGCTGAATTTGTTTTGCTGTTTTTACTAGGATTTCGTTAAGTATGGCAAAAATTGGTGGGTTTTGCAGGACACTGAAGAGATCTCTGTAAAGAGAAATATGAATTGGACTCTGATAATAATCTTCCATACTAAGAATAACTTAGTTAATTTTCTATTTCAAAAAGATGATTTGAATTTTTAGTTTGAATCTGGTGAAACTGGTAACGTTCAAAAGTTTAAAAAACACTTCCAAGCTTGAACCTTACCAACTGTAAAGCAACTCCATTTGGTGTGTGGTTTTCAAATCTAGCTTTAAAATTCAATAATGTGGTGCTTTTGGAAGTTTGGTGTAGTCTCATTTTGTGTTTCTCTGATACATGATTTTTTTCAAAAAATAAAATAAACTTTGACTCCATATAATAATTATTATTCTTACTTGAAATTTACTCCAGGAACAGGAAAATCCGGATAACTTTTCACCGCCTCTTTAATTAATTCTAGTTTTTGTTGATCACTCAATTTCCTGTTGTTATCTGTCATGTTAAAAATGACTGTTTCAAAACTACTTTAAAGCTTCAAAACAAATAAAACTCGAGAAGTCCTACCAAACTGTTATACAATGCGTACAATACAGTTTAAATTTATTAAACATGTGCGTAAGTATTCGTTATTGGTTAAAATAATAATTTACTGATTTGTTTTCTTAAATTTAACAAGATAACAAGTGGTTATCATTCATCAAAAACTACTATCTGATCCACAGCCAAACCAAAGATTTTTAATTTTATGTTTTCGAATGAAAATAATGGATACCATCAGCTGTTTGGTGGATCAATAGAAATTTAAATTCTACCTTGAGGGTGACCTCGTGTTCAGGAAGTACCAGTGGCGGAGGTACTGAATATTGAATTTAATTTATTACCACTTGAATTGAGGATGTTTTGTGGATTCCATAATAAAGGTTTACTTATTATTATTTTTTTAATGGATTTTCTTCTTAGAAGTTGTTTTCTAATTGTATAGTATTACTTTAGTTAATTAAAACTGATTGATGAATTTATATCTTTCAACTAATCATAAGCTGCAACGAATACATGGAATGTGAGATTAGAGTGTCCATTTTATTAAAATAATTCAGATACTGATGGTGATATTATAATTTTTTTGAAGGTATTTACGCTGTCCAAGTGCGGTTACCATTTTGCACCTTGTCAAGCTGATTCAGGCAAAATATGAACTTACAGAACGCCACAAGGTCGACATTTTCTATAACCAAGACATTCTTGGTTCCAATTTCTCCCTTATGGATGTGGCTTATACTTATTCTTGGAAAAAGGTAAGGATTTTACAATATTTTGTATTAATCTAAAATAATTTTATTACACTCAAATATTCATCTTTTTATAATTATTTCAGAAAGAACCACTGAATCTAACATACAAAATCTACGAGTGTCGAGCAAAAAAGCCCAAACTTGACAATGTAAATATGACGAATAACAATAATAATAACTGGAAAGAAGTACAATTACGAATAAGTGAAAACGGTGAGATGTCTATAACAGGAATCCAGGATGCTAATATGTTAGAATTACTGGACGCCACTGAGAATTTTGAAAGCGCAGTTGTGATAAATGAAAGCAAATGTTCTGTGGAAACTTTAAAGGCTGAGGAAGCCTCTGTAGTAGAAAAACCACTGGAAAATCATAGAAAAGAACTTCCAGAATTGAAATCGATTGGGAAAACTATTGCAAATACAACTACAGTGACTAGTACTTCTACAAGAGCCACCCCTAATACAAAACTTCTAAATTCCGGAATTAAAATGGTGATAAATAATGCTAAATCTGGTGCAGGCATGGCAACAATAAAGTCAAATAATAAACAATTAGAAATCAACAAACCTAGTACAACTACTATATGTAGTAGTAGTTCAAATGCCCCATTAACCTCGGAAAACTTAACACCTACTTTTAGTAAGCCTACACCAGTAAAATCTACCCCAAACTCAATTACGGCTTTGTCGAAAAGTATAGAATTAAGCAAAACTTTAAATCTCAATAGTGAACTATCTGTGATTCCTTTGAACGCAAATGTGGCATTATCCTCGTGTAGCACGACCACCGTTTTTAGTACTGTCAATAGAAGTATGTGCAGTACAAAATCAGACGAGAATAGTTATAGTAACTTTACCAAGCCAACTTCAGAGATAGACAAAGGTAGTATATCAAAAGAAGGCAATAATCTTAAAAGAAAACACGAAGATAGTGAAAATAATTCTCTACTTGAAATTCCTGCTAAACTTCCAAAACCAACTATACTTAATCATTCAATAGGTCTTATGAATCTTTCTAATAATCATCCATTGAAAAAGCACACAAAAATAAATCGAAATGGTGAAAGGAAGAATATTGATTTAAATAATGATAAAACCTCCACAAATTTCACTCTTAGCCATGTGTTGGTGCCTCAGAAATCTATGGATACAACTCCCTCCAAGCCTATAATAATAAACAAAAATTTGAGTTATTTTGCAACTCCTAAGTCAGAACAGGGACCAAAAATCTTGAACTCTTTGGCACGAAATGGTGAGGTTCCAATATCCAAGCCTTCTAATTCGTACCAAAATAGTCCAATAATAATCCCTTCCCAGTTGCCTCATCATCAAAACTTGAATTCCTTGCAAACAAAACAGACATCCAACAAAGACCCTGTAAAAAATAATCACGATTACAAAGCAAATACTCAAAAATCCACCAACGAAAGTAATAATAAAGACGAATCTCAAATGGGTCAAAGTTTACCTTTGCCGGCACCAGTTCCGAATTGTTCAACTGCTACAATTAAAGCTAAACCCAGTACACCGATTGGTTATAAAACTTTACGGGATCCACCGAAAAGCTGGAACTCTCAAATCAATTCTCAAATAGCCCGCGTGAATCAGACAGTGAAGGCGCAGCAAATGGCCAACGCAGCGGCAGCTGCAGCAGCTGCTGCTGCAGCTTCACAAGCAGGACTTTCACCGGGCCAGTTTGCGGGTGACTTGAAAAGTGTGAGACCTGCTAAGTTTTTTAAGGGAAGGAATGTACCAAGGTATTTAGGTGAGTTTTGTTTTAAATTGCTTATCGGGATGTCTAAATAGACAAAATTACCAAAGGTACTTTATTTTTTAGGTAATCCAGCGTCAGGAGTAAAACCTATGTACCAAGTTCAGATAAGTCCAGATAAAGACAAAAATCCAGAACGACATACTCAAACTACAATAAAGTCTGATAAAAGTGAGATCAAGAAACATTCTATTGTCAAAATCGACCCGAAAACATTAAAGCCTATTAGTGAGAAGGCACCCGAAATCTCAAATCTGAGCAATATGAGCAGTAGTTTAGTGTTGAATGTCTCAACAGCAAACAATCCTGAATTGAGGTAGGGTAGGGGGGTTTAGCAATATTCATTAATATACGAAAATATACAACATTTAATTTGTTTAGGATAAATTCTACTATGGCAGGTGATCTTAAAATTAATACTAGTTCAGTATCGATTTTTAATCCTCTCAAGTTGCAACAGAGCTCTCCAAAAAATGAAAGAAAATCACCGAAAAGTCCACAATCACCTAAAGTTAATAAATCAAATTCCAGCACCAATTCAGGTAAGATTATGTGCCTTTGAAAATTTAATTTATATTCGTATTTGTGATTCTATTTTAGCAATGACAACTACTACAGCTTCCAATGCAATGGCTTTATCACCGAAACAACAACGCGATAAGACAAGTTTGACATTTACTCCATCGAATCCATTTGTACCCAATTTGACCAGTCCAACATTGAATCCCAATCAATTTTTGTTTCCTGCTGGCGGCTTTCCCAGTTATGATCCTAGAGTTGTGGCGGCTTATCACAGGTGAGGACTTGTACGCCACTGTAACTTTTATTTTGCTTTTGAACCTGTTTATTAATTACAAAATTACATCATAATTTAAAACTTCCTTAACCTAAATATTTCACAATAGAGTGCGGCTGATGTTAATGCCTATCTGCTATCTGTACATTGGCTTAGAGTTGGAAGTGGCAGCCAGGCAATTGTGATGTTTTTGTGAGGCTACACTGACTTTCAAATCGTGTTTCGTTAAATTTTATTGTCGATTGTCCTGTAGTTTTCATGTTGGTGAAAAAGGGAAAAATTTTTGGAAAGCCCTTTTTTACGTTTCTTTGGTATGTGTGTCTGTCGCTGGTCAGTGTGTGCAGCAGATTTGGACTTTTTAGAGTGCACTCTCCATTTGCGATATGAGTTTTTTCGCATGTTTTGTGTTGAAAATAGCGATAGAAAAGTCGATAAATTTAAAGCTAGCATTAACAAAATAAATCCAACCATTGCATTGATAACTGAGTCATGGCTACGCCCAGATCTTCCTGATTACACATTGTTTTGCTTAGACATGCATAACCAAACAGGAGGAGGTATCTGAATTTTTGTCAATACAGTAGCAGATGACCAAACGCAAGCAAAATTCAGCACCTTGTACAAAACAGAACACCCAATAGAAGCAGTTTGATTGGAAATTACAATCAGCACCTTTACCTTTGTAACGGCTTGCATATATCGTCCCAAATCGTCAACAACACCAGAGCAAAACAATGAATTTACCGCAACAGTAGTAAAGGCCTTAGAGTCAAAAATTCCAACATGACTTCAATTACACAGTGATCAACTGGGATAAACTTACTGTCTACCCTCACAATCAATGCTCAGAAGTTTTCTTTAATAGCTATCAAATCACTAACGCGCATCAGGTAATAACGTTTCCTACAAAATACAGAAGTAATGAAATTTCATTACTAGATCTATTGCTGGTTAATGCCAAAAGCTCAATATTCAGTATACAGCTACACCCACTAATAGGGCGTAGTGATCATGTAGTGATAGCAGCTAAAACACAGATTCAACTGGCTTCTAAGCCAACTAAAAAGATCTATAAAAGAAATTTCTGGAAAGCATATTATGATGAAATTAACAAGTACATAACTGAACAGTTAGATGCCTGCACATGCCCAATTGATGCAACACAGCTAATAAGTTTAGTGACAAAAACTATTGAGCTACATGTACCCTTAAAGCCTAAGCATGTCAATTCAAAGAAACCCTGGCTTAAGTGGGAAGTTTTTAAGCAAATCAACATCAAACGAAAACTGTGGGATAAGTATAAAAGGACAAAAACAAAGACAGATTATGATCATTACAAACAACAAAATAATATAACGAAGCAGATCTTAAACCAGGCTAGGCAAGAATATGGACAGAATTTATTGCAAGCTCCTGTTAAAAAATTTTACTACTATATAAAACATTCCCTAAACTCGTCTCCAAAATTTTGCGCTCAGAAACACTAACAACATAAAAAATTATGTGATAAAGAACTACTACCATTTTATAAATATAGGAAAGAAATTGCTCTGGTGGAAAATTTACTTATGTACAATGATAAAATAATAATTCCATCAAATTTAAAAAGAGCACATCTGAAATTTATACATTCAGGATATCTAGGAATTACAAAATGTATTGCAAGAGCAAAAAAAAAATGATTTGGTGGCCAGGAATAACTTCTCAAATTGAAGATCTTATTGAAAATTGTGAGATATGTATAAAAGATAAACCTCTTGCGACTAAAGCGATTTTAAATTTGGAAATCCATAGTCTACCTTGGTGGATTGTGGGATCTGATTTATTCCAATTTAAAAACAAAATGTATATGGTTGTACAGGACTATTATAGTTTGTTTTTGGAAGTAATTGATTAGAAAAATAGGACTAGTGCAACGATAGTAGAGGAACTCAAAAAAATATTTGCCAGATTTGGAATTCCAAAAATATTACGTACAGATAATGGACCTCAATGCAATGGAGAACTTGCACATTTTTTTTTAAATTAAATTTAAAAATGTATTCTACTCAGAGATAAATAATACTATATAAACTGTCGAGAATGGAATCTCAGTGTAAGTTTTGTTGTCAACAAAATTGAGCCAAGCCAGCGCCATCTACCATATCGGAAAATCACTATTTACTGGTTTTGCATCGATGCTACAGATACCTACTTTACATAGGACTTTTTATGATAGATGGCGCCCTGTTCGCATTATACTGTCGGTCTGTTCAAATTCGTTTATTCTAGACTTTGGAGCATTAATGTTTGCTTAAATTAATTGATAATTTGTTAATTAGATCAAAAGACAGTTTCTTTATCGATGGTTAAGGGTATCCTTAACATATTTATTCAAAGTTCTGATTGATATTTAATTGAACCTGTCATTTATCTAATCAACAAAGATAAAAATAGATCTTCCAATCTATAGTTTGAAGTTCTTCTTGAAACACACAAAACAACTTTGAAATCACTTAAGAACACTTGACAACACATAGAAAAATGAAATGCAAGACCCGCGAACAAAAAACATTATGAATTATTAGTTATGATCAAATGAATATGAATATTTTGGCATATTGTCATATGTTGACATGTCAGTTATCGACATCGGACGTGTTCTTGATGTGCTAGTATTTTACAATTTTGACAATTCTGTGGTTGTCAGCGACATCTAGAAAAACGGAAAAGAGTTATTATGTGGCAATGAGAGATCGCAGGGCCTGATTCTACTTCACTAAAGACATAGTCATGCCAAATATTAAGCATTAAAAATCAGCCGTTAATTTTTTATAAATATTTGAAGTTACGCTCGAAACGTCGAAACATCGCCATTTGAAACGACCGATCAGTGTGACGTCACTCGGCAACAAATTTCCGATCACGGTGATGAGCACTTCGAACTTCAAGCAGGTAGATTAAGAATATGGTTATGTTGTTATGTATGCCGTTTTTGATAGATTTGACATTGGCGACACCAGCAGCACATGACGTGGCAGCGGCACGACCCGATTATTATTGCCTTGTGACGTCACGACCCATAGAAATACGTGAATTTCGAATTATTTGGTATTTTCAATTGAAGATTTTGGACACCAGACATAAGATATTAAATTTTTTTCCTAATTGCACCATTTATCAGGATGATTGTTATTGTGTTTTGTTATTTATTCCATATTTAATTTGATGTGCAAGTTCCCTATTGTTTATTTTTCAAAAATTAAATTTTGCGAAAACTTATGGATTTGAATGGCGTTCAAGCAGCCCATATCATGCACAATCAAATCGTTTGGAAGAAAGTGGTGTTAAAACAGCTAAGAAGATTCTTAAAAGGTCAGAAGATTTCAAGTTAGGATTACTTGCCTACAGAAATACACCTCTGAGTTGTGTCGCAAGTCCAAGTGAACTTTTGATGGGTAAAAATTTACGAGAGCAAATAGAAGTTCCAAAATCATTTTTGAAATCAAAATTGCAAGATTTAAAAAAAATTAACGAGAATAAGGAAGAAGAGAAGAAGCAACAGAAATACTATTTTGACCAAAGACATAGAGCGCGGAATGTTGGATAATACGACAAAGGGCAGACGGTATGGATTTCGGATAATCAAAAAGAAGCATACATTCAAGATGAAGTGGCTCCTCGATCTTCTAAGGTCGAAACGAACAATGGACAGATATATGGAAGAAATAGAAGATATTTAAAACGTTTAGGGCCTAATTATGGACCAATTGGTAAGTGTTTGGTTGTTACCTAACGGGTACTTTCTATTCTCTAGTGCATACAAAATACCTGCTAGGTAACAACCAGACGTTTATCACTCAGTCCATAATTTGGCTCTCACCTAATCTGTAAAATCATATTTATTATGTATTCTTTTGTTGTTACTTAGTTAGGTTTGTGTTTGTGAAGAAAGGGTAATGTACTTGTAACTAGTAGATATAATCATTGTATAAAAAGGCTCTAGTAAGATAGTTCTTATGCGTCAAATTCTCCCCAGGTCTTGCGATCACATTAATCCCGCTAGATGGTCCCACTACTAGACAATTGCAAAATTAAATTAAGGGCGCAATTGGAGCCCTCTATCTGTATTTTGTAGTACACCCAGTTACAGATTTCACGGTTTTAGACGAAAAGTGGGCGTGACAGTATCTCGGGTGGTACCATTGATTTATGTTTGAATGATATTTGCATATACAAATATGATTACGATACTGACGCCCTTAGATGCGTACGGTAATAATGAAATAATAGAATGATTAGAATATAGAATAGCATTAATCGGGAAGAAACATAAAATCGGTTCTATTACTTTATTTACCTTTATTAAAAACTACAATAATCAATAATGCGGACGGACGACCATTATGAAGCTATATGTAAATTTACTTAATTATAGGACCATTGGTACCTTTAGAAACTTCAGTTTTAATATATTTTAGGATTTTAGTGTTGGGAGTGGAATATACAGAATCACATAAAATATTAGTTTTGCAATTATATTTTTATTTTTAGGGATTTAATATATTCACACATAAATAAGGCATTAAAGAATTTATTAATAGTCATAGTTATAGTCATAATCAATCATACTTTATTAGTCAAGAAAAAATATTCTATTGACAAAGCATTAACTTAAAAGTAAAACCGAAAAATAGTTATTTTTTATATAAGACGATAAAATGCTATTTTATCGTTGACGTTGACCGGAAAAGTTAATTCACGAGCGGAATCGCGAGTGAATTAATTCCGGGAGCCGATAATGGCATTTTATCGTCGTGTGTAAAACAAAGTTTTTTTTCCATAGCCTAATTATGGACGCGTGTAGTTTCGAAAAAACTTAGAAATTATTCGAGTCGAACACTTTTGCATAAGTAGAAATTTGTTTGACAAATAAATAGAAAAACAAAATATGTATCAATTTTTCACAAAATAAACGTCTTTATCTATCCTATTTTTAGTAGATTAAAGGCAACTTTACC